GTCTACATATGCAAGCAAATGATTGAAAACAGCCAGGTACTCTGCAAAAGGAAATGTTTTTTTCAAAGAAGAACTTCACAAATAGCCAACCTTGTATAACATCAGAATTATCTTTGAGAAAGAAGTTTTTCAAATATTTTTGGATGAAAGCCGTCATACAACTCAAAGCAACAGCTGAAACATCTATCAATGAATATGGATTATAGTAATGAAACCTGGATCGTTGAAGTTAAGTAAGAGAAACGGAGCTGCCAAACTATCACAGCCTTGCCAATAGACGTACTGAGAATGTGAAAGTAACCAACCCTTGATTATTCTTCGTAGTTGAGCATGTGCAGCCGGGGATGTCATTAATTCTTCGTACTTAATCAGTTTGTTCTATGTTTATAAACTTCATAAATCGGACTTGGTGACATCGAGGTATATCAACGTCTAACTGGCGGTCACTTGCATGAGGCTTCAAAGTGTTCAACATAAAGAACTGTATACGGTAGCTTTCTTTGAATTTCAAAAGGCAAGACCATACTAAAAATTGAGTTAGCTAGCCTTCAACAAGATTTTCACCTGCTCCTCGAACTAGAGGAGGAATATCCCCTCTCACGGCAAGGGATAACAAGTTATGATAGAAACGTCCTTCAATTAAGTGCCTTATCAACAACATCCGAGAAATCTTACACAGAAATAATTACGTACTCATTTTCTCTACCTGATAAGTGACATCTTTTTCCTTAACTATGATACTTAGAGAAGAGAACTGTTCAGGTATGCCGTCTAACTCCACAGAATGCAGGAACACATCATCATCCATATTCAACAACTTCTGATTTTTACAATTGCTATATTTGATTTCTGCCGATGATTCAACCTCTTTCAAATTCTTCAATGGCAAGGAGAAAGTGTTACATTTGATGCGAAAACTTCTGCCATCCTCATTACCAAATAGCCGAGCATCTTCAACAACTAATCTGAAAGAAACGAATCAGCGTTTTCAGGTTGCGCACGGTTACAAAGGAAGCGTGTTGATTGGGAATTGGAGCTTTATCACTCCGCTCTTGACTAAAATATTTTCAGGCGAACCGCCACATAGTTTCCACAGAAAAAAGGCTTCATCAAGTCTAAGTTCCGTGAGCTTCCAATCATTTCCTCCTATGTTCACTCTTTCTAAGAACATAATTCCGACATTTTCTGCGCTTTTAGATTACCAGTCATCTCTTCAATGCTTTCAACATCGGTATATGCAGAATGACCTTTCTCCAAACTCATCAATTCAATAAACAACTCGTGGGCTGTTGGACGCTGAAAGAGAAATTTTCATTGCAATAGTTGTGATTCACATCGCAAGCATCCTCAATATGATTTCTTCTTAGTCAGATGCACAACAAAATATTACAGTTTTCATTTGTACGCCGCGCATGACGCCACTTGAAATTCGAGTCAAAAAACATTTTGAAGCATTTCAATGTGAGAAGCATACGCTGCGATACCACAGTTTCTTTGTAGGCGATGTATCAGACGACACACGAGGATGTTACTTTTCGATATGTTTTACCTGCGAAGGTAACAGACAAAGACACTTTTTGATTATCTCAGCCAGTTCAAGACTCGGTTCGTGAATTGGTTCTTTGGACGAGTTTTTGAGCGTCTCAAGAAGCTTCGGATATAAACTAACAGGACCTGCAATGGAAACCATAGAACTATTCTCTTAATTTCGAATACTGGAGATCAGAGCTGTTTCCAAAACGGCTAGATACTGATTAATTGACCAAACTTTCTCTAATAAGACGCCCTAAACACGATCAATCATTTCGGAATATGGGTTATTGCATAGTTACTGTTGATAATTCTAACAAAAGGATTCCTAGCGCCCATATGTCAGTTTTGAAAGTTGTATAAGCTTTTGATGTTCGCTGTCTCAACAGTTGCTCGGGTGATATCCCATGTTCCATATAGAGGGGATCAATCATATCCACCCCGTCATCCGTTACGTGACTAAAGCAAAGAGCAATTAATGTCTGTCCGAACAAAGCATATTGTACCAAATTCCATATTGGGATAGACGTGTATTATAGTTTGATTTATTTTCGAAGCATAACACCGTGTTTGGGCGTAAAATCCCTGAACAAATGTGGTGATCATGAAGATATTTGAGCGCAGATATAACTTGAACAACTATATTTGTGAGAGAATCGGACCTGAATCTATTATATTCTCTTGTTTACAACAGAAATGGAACGAACCTAATTTGTGGAATGATATCTCTCAATGATTGCTCGAAGTGTTCCGATATCAGTATTGCTGAGTTTTGCGCTGAATAGTAAGCAATGGTTTACATTCCAAGTATGGTTACTGATCCCACCGAGGCTGCAACGAATGAGCTCTATATAGTGGCACAGGCCAGGATGATCCAAGTTTTTCAAAATTTGGAAGCGACCCAGCATCCTAACAGAAGCCGGAACAACAGGCAAACCGTTGGAACAAGTTCTTCCTCCTTCATCCCGCCCAGTAAGAACAGTAGCTCCAAAAGAAGCTCTCCCGACCAGTCTCATCTTAAGATTTCATTTATAATACGCTACCGACCATTGAGGAAAGTTTTTCATAAGGGAAGGACATTACCATGAAGAAGAATAAGAAGACGCTTAACAATATGTTTTATTTCGGGGCTCATGAAAAAACAATTCAAAAACGAATACGGAAGAAACATTCTAACGACTATGAGTTGTAATAGAATAATAAAAAGGAGATGAAGATAAGTAAACCATCGTCTTGAACTGGGAGTCTACAAACAAAAAAACGAAACCCATTTTCAACAAGTGATCTAGAGAAGA